TGCAGGCTGATCTATGGGTATGGATCACCCACTTGTCTTCCGACCATGCGTGGCGTCCATCTTTACGGCCTCACCGATTTGAACTTATTCGAGTTCTTTTTGAAATATTGACTGAAGTTGTAGCTCACCGAACGACATTATCAGGCAGTGTTAGAATGTCGGTTGTCGCCGGCGGCCGGCAAGCTGTATGCACCGACTGCAGCCTTTTTCACTGCACCATGTGGACGGGATTTGGATACCACTTGTGATGGTGGAATGAAGGATTGATTGTTGCAGCTCGTCAGTTTGGTTGAAGCTAGATTGTACTTCCGCAAGGCGCATAATTTCTGAGGGTGGAAAAAACTCGCATCCTGCGTCTGACCTAAAGCCTCTTGATTGACTGAACGTATTGCTCGAAGGCAAATACTGTCATGTTCGATTTAGTGTGGAATCACCGAATACTTTTGCAACTTCCTCGAGGGTTGTCTCACGAATGGTATATATCGCGAATGAATTATTGAAATAAAGAAAAACTCGTCCGTCCTCAGGCCCACGGCTTTGAAAACCGTGTCCGAAGTTCTCTGGTATTTTGAACTGATATAGTAATTTGGTACTCCTAATCTCTAGTGTTCTAGTCCCTTGGTGTCTATCGTCTACACTCATCACAACAGACGGGCGGAGCCAGGTTTGTGGCATCTCTCCAACTTTTTACAAGGATAAGATGGATGTGCCTCTGATTTCGTTCAATGTGAAACCTTATCTGCGGTCTCCGAAATGGTGTTTTGTTTGTTTTCTTCCTGTTGCCATCTTTTTTAAATTTTCATCACTATGTTGACTTTAGTCAAAGCAATTCACCTCATCGTATTTGATGCTTGAATGCCTCATCAACCAATCAATCAACAACGAAAGTGAATCATCCATTTGAACTGGTGCTTCGCTGACGTACAACCATGATGACCTATGGAATAAAAAATAATACGCGGGAGAGAAAGGGGACTTACCTGGAAATCCTAATGCTTTAAGCAAGCATTCAGGGTTAAGGCTCCTACGCCTTGTGTAGACAGCATACCGTCACAAACCGCTGGCTATCGTACAAAGGTAAGGCGGCATCAGCGAGACAGGTTCCTTGCGGCTTTCACTGCCCAGCGTCATAACCAGCCATTACCCCGCAGATAACTCAGCACCAAACACACTTTAAGCAGGCAATCCGATAAGGAGACGACAGCAGACGCGCCACTGGTGTAGGTTGCGAGCCATGTCCTGTAAAGTCTCGAGCCAAGCACAAGGCGAGTCACGTGGACTCCAGCCCGGAAGGCGAGACGGACCAACGGCACCCAGTTTGGTCGTCAGTAGCTTCATTTCTCGCTGTCAAGTCAACTTCTGTCCACCTCGAGCCTTGTGCCATCCTACACCTGGTGGACTAGACAAGGCCCTTCTAGGTAAGCGGTGACCAGGCATACGTAGCACGTCCCCAAGCCAACGCAACTTATTCAGTGCTATCTGTTGCTCTAGGGATCTAGCACGATTATCACTACCTAGTACTCGCCTACGCACATCATCGTTGCGGATACTCTGGTGCTATCCGACTCCAGCAATGCTGCGCAGACAACGATGATCAAAGACTTGAAGGCGCTTTAGATCTTCTGACCGAAGGGGCCAAGTATCACTACCATAGAGCAGAACGGCCCTCACTGTGGCCTTGTGTATACGGCCCTTCAGACGAAGGGAAACTCCCTTCTGTCGCCAAAGATGCCGCAGGTTCAAGAAGGCAGTTCTGGCCTTTGCAATGCATGAGCTGACGTCAGTTTCTATGCGCCCATCGTTGCTGATGCAGCTGCCAAGATAAGTGCATTGATCAGTTACCTCGAGTTCCTCGTTAGGAAGGGTCAAGAGGTTATAAAGTGGCTGGTGGTCCTGCAGTAACACTTTGCGCTTTGAAGGTACGAAGTGCATGCCAAATAATGGGACCACTCTGGACAGGCGATTCAGGGTTGATTGTGCCGCCCCAACATCGTCGATAAGCAAGACGATATCGTCCGCATAATCTAGATCAGCTCAACGCCTACATCGTGCGATTCCGCAAGGGAACACTCCATGATAGAATCCACGACGAAACTGAACATAAATGGGGAAATCGGGCAACCCTGACGAACGCCACTTGTGGTCGGAACGCTCTCCGACAGGTCACCGTAGACCGTGACGCAGCCTGTAGTGTTCGAGTATAGAGCACGAAGGATGTTCACATATTTCGTGGGACCACCTTTCCGCTCAATTATTTCGAACAGAATCGATAGATCGACTGAATCGAACGCACTCTTGAGATCGAGGGACTGCGGCATGCGTGGCGCTGCTCTAGCACCTGCCGCAAAGTGAATATATGGTCTATCCAGCCACGTCCTGGGCGGAAACCTGCCTGCTCTTCCCTAATCCGAGATTCCCGTTCCACAGTGAGGCGACGAACGAGAATCGTGGCCAGTACTTTTATCACAGCTGGTGTTAGGCTAATACCCCTGTGGTTAGCACAGTCGGTGCGACTTGCCTTCATGTATATTGCCACCATAACCCATTCGCTCCAATTCGCCTGGACACTCTTCCTACGCAATACGTTCGAATAGGAGGTCAATGCTTTGCAGGGGACCTCACCTCCATCTCTAAATACTGCAGGTGGGACGGAATCCGGGCCAGCGGCACGAAAACGATTGAGGGCTATGATCGCGTTTCGGACCTCGGCCTCCGACGGAGGTACTAAACTAACCTTCCATGGTTCCTTCTGCATCACCTGAACATGGGGCCAGCTGAACTGATCTTGAAAGTGTTCCGCCCAACGAGCCATACGGCTCTCCTTATTGTGTATCAGTGCACCCGCGCTGTCTCTGGTTGTCTCACTGACGCCTGATTTCCTGGGACCAGTGGTGCGGATCAGCTGGATGAGCTTGCGGTAATTGCCTACTGCTCCTGCCTCCTCCATTTCTTGAGCCCTGCTGGTCCACCAGGTTCCTTGTGAGCACGTAGGCTCCGTTTTAGTTGCGCCTAACAGCCCGTCTGGTCACATTGTGCTCAGAGCCAGACGTGAGGTTTCTCTTCGATTCATACAGGTTCACCGATCTCTCGGATATCCAATGACTGGTGCGGGGACGATGGATAGTGTCACAAGCAGATGCTCCTGCGTCTTACATCAGGCCGAGATCCTATTCCACTGAATTACAGTGTCATTAGGACAAGACAGTGGAAGTTCGGTATGCAGTGCTTCTTGATAGGCTTGCCTGACCGAGGGCTGAGACGATTTCTCCGTTGCCAATCGGGGGGGACACTAGGTGCGCCTCCCGGTAGAGTTCATGGAGAAACGATAGCGTACCAAGGCATGATCAGAGTCGACACAGGTATTCCAGTACGAGCGGCAATCAGGGATGGAATCACGCCATCTGTACCTTATGGCTATGTGGTCAATCTGGGTTCATCGCTGGACAGCTACAGAAGGACGCCAAGTGGCATTTCGGTGTCCACTATGTCTAAAAGCAGTACTACTAAGAAACAACTGGTGCTCCGCACATAGTCGTAGCAGACGCTCGCCGTTATCAGTGTCTTCAGAGTTAAGCCCATAATGACCACCCATCTGAGCTTCTGAAGAACTCAGACGCCCTACTTGTGCGTTCATATCCCCTGCAAGGACTATAATATCTGAACTAGTAGCACTTCGTAGTAGCGCGTTCAGTTCGTGATAGAATGTCCTTGACTGCATTAGAGCTGTAGTCGGTGGGAGCATAAGCAGAAATCACAAACAGCATTTTTTAATACATTGTGAATAAACCTTAGCTGATGTCGTCAAACGGGCTGCACATAAACGGCTGTTCACCGGAATCCAATCAACCAACGATGACTCAGCCTTGGAGCTGAGAATGATACCCACACCAGTTTGACCCGTGAGTGCTGCGTCGGTGTCTCCGGATGCATACAACGAATAACGAGAAGACAAGCCGGGTGCGGTTAATTCAACAACACCATTAGTGTCATTGATCCTAGTTTCGGACACAGCACACATCAATACCCAGTGTGTCCAAGGTGCGTTCGAGTGCATCCTGTAGACCTATTTTTATTAGTGCGAACGTTGAACGTCGCCATGGAAACGGGACAACCTGGCCTTATAAGGGAGCTGTTGCCGATAGGCGTCTGGTGGGTGTCACGAGAAGTTGGTTGCAGATGGTTCTACTCCAATTGCACTTCGATTGCTGTCAATTAAGCTGGGAATCATAGTAGGAATCTTAGTAATGGTGGTCGAGATATTACTTAGAGAAACAGGTGGAAAAGGAAGGAGAGAAGCGCCAGCAGTAGATTGTTTTCGTTTATCCGCCCTGCTGTGTGCAGGAGATAAGGCTACCCTTGCTAATCTGCGCTACGGCCGATGCAGGATGAAATTTATGTTTGAAGAAAAAGTCATGGTTGTATGTGGGCTGGGATACTGCCAGGGCGTCCAGACCTAGACAGGAGGACAAGTAGGGTCCTTATCCGAGGCTTTTGGCTCAAAAGCCTGTCCGCATGACAGCGGGGAGATGGCAGTGATTTAATTTTACGAAAATGGACGCCATCCCCCAACTAGGAGGAGCAGGAGACTGAGTTTGTCTGACCTCTCACCACTGACCAACCTTGTAGAAGTAGCTCTCAAGGGGTCTGGAGGCGCCACCTAGTATATCTCAATGGGTCAAAGAGGTACGTAAACCGTCGCATCACTTTAAAGTCCAGTCTCGTTGCGACGAAATCCAAGACATTCAAATTGAATTTCTCATAGATCAACTGAGTCCCGCACGTCGCACTTCCGGTCCTTCTCTTGACGCCTGCACCCGTGTCTGCTCGTGAATACAATTATCAGCACCTATGTGCGCGGATCATGTTGCTACCCTTTGATCCCTCTATCTGATTGCAAATCTTACTTGGTTTACCACCCACTTCTATATTGTCCCACTAATCCACAGAGTCTCTAAGTTTCTCTCACCATGTTGCTTGATAACGACTGTCTTCTCTTCTAGTGTGGGGCATCATAGCACCAGCGACGACAGTTTGGCCTACCGAACTGCCCAGGAGGTGAGCTATTGGGATAAAGAACACAATCCGATTCTCCGGCTCCGTAACTACTTGTTCCGCAAGAATTGGCTGACTGAGGAGGAGGAGAAACATATTCGGGACGAGTGTCATAAGCAGGTGAGACTCTGCCACCGTAATAAGTTTTACATTCCATGATTCATATTTGGTAGTCGGATTAAACGTCTCTTTATCACATATCCCAGCTACATTCGAATCCACTGCCTGTCGTGGACACTCTAAGCAACCATTGTAATGAAATATCTTGGGTTTTATTCCTGTTAGTTTGCAAAGCTCATTCACCTCCAATCATTTATTGTTTCAGGTTATGTCCACCATCCCTGTTTGTGAGGCGAAACTCAAACCCAGTCCGGTTCACTTGTTTACCGATGTCTATTCGCGCATGCCCAGTCGCCTTACCCGCCAAATGGAAGCCACTAAAGAACACACCAGACGACACTCAGAAAGCTACCCGCTTAACAAATATGAACCTTTCGACTAGTCCGTTACTCAGTGAACACCCTATTCCCTATCTTCACTTATTTGTCCCCGATGTCTTTGGCGTCTCTCCTTGATTGAGCGTGCACCTGATTCCTAGTCTATAATATTTTAATTTTCACGTATAATCATTTTCCCCTATCGCTGCTCCAAATCCGGCATCCTATTGACTTTTTTATATCAAAAGGTTTGCCCATTCTGTCATTTCCACCCCGCAACCTTGCGCTGTTCCTGTGTAAATCTCTGTGACTAGTTGATAGGTTCTCGTATTTTTCGAAGTTTGTTCCTCACCATGGATCTTTATGTTAATCTATGTTGATCAAAGTACCCTGTTTCCGTTTGGCGCGTTTTCTTCTTATTGTCAGCTACCTCTGGCTGGCAGCTTATGCCATCAATGGGTGCGACAGAAGACGATACGAATGATATACCGGACACCTTAATTCTTTATTCCCAATTCTATGCGATCGCTCACAAACCACAGCTTAACAGTGGCTTATGACATGGTTGCAATTCATTGGCAATTCTTGTCAGTATTCTGAAGGCCCGACCGAGTTTGTTGTTCTGAAGTATGACTTTACGTTGTCAGGTTCTTCTGCAACGTTTCATCTCCAATAGTAACTTATCTTTGAGAGCGACAGGTTACGGGTAATAAGCTCACAGCTGGATTTGCGTAGCACACACGTACCACCCATTGTCTCTGATGGTGGGAGAGCACCACCCGATGCGCATTTGCTTGCTACCGCCCGTACCAAGCTAGGTAACTCCTGATCCGCTAGGTGTGAACCTGTCATCTCCAACCTACGGTCGGCCGTGTTCGGTAACGCGTAACATTCTACAGTCGAGCAACACAAGTGAATCGTTCGAAAACTTCGAAAGATGCGAGTGACGGGTCTAAAGCAGATTCCATGAATGTTGTGCAGTCATACCGCCGAGCTGTACGTGCTCACTACTGCTTTGTGCTTTGACTCAGTAGTCAAAAGCTTCTGGAGGAGTCCCGTAATCAAACTCCGTGTAGCTCCAAATCGAGGTCCTTTCTATGGAAAGCGTTTATTGACAAATATTAGTACCTCTTATGTCCCCTGGAGAGTCTTTCGATTCTCCGCCTGGGATTTTCACATACTTATCTTGTGAATTTTAGCCAATTTACTTCATCTCAGTTCCAAATGGTTCTGGACCAAGGCATCAGGCACTAGCGGAACGCGTGAGATGGATTGCTCGTAACAGACCCGTAATATTGGGTTTAGTTTAAAGCAGTACAGGTCTCATGAAGATGCTTCATCAACCACGGTTATCACCTGTTAGTGCGACCAGCACAGCAGAATACGTGCAGCATTCTACTAATTTCACGCCGCGTGTTACTTAGAACATCACCTTTAACTTCCGTCTCATGAGCCGTCCAATCATTTATCTCTTTATTACCTTCGTGCAACTGATGATAATACTCCTTGTGAAAGTTCTACCCGGCCATGGATCAAATCTGTTTTCTCTGAGCCAACTTTCATGTAGCGGTGCCGCGGAAAATTTCGACACATTTCTGGCTTTGGTTTCGTTCCCCATTTGATTTACTTCACTAATGCACGAAGGGGCGCGCTGACCAGTGTGTGTAACTGTCCCCTGAAGACCAACGAGTGGATTGCTAGCAGACCGCACAAGGGAAAAGCAAACTCTGAATACTTTAGGTAATCGCTTAGTAGGATTGTGGAATCGGACACCCTAGTGCATTGTGAAACAATTTCGAGGCCGTTATTTGTGGGCTCTAAATGTCTGATTACTCTTTGAAGGTTGAGTTGTACGAGATCATTTCCTTATCACCCCATTTCCATTCCAGTGACTTACTTGTTAGACCTGGACAATTTATTTTCGTCTAGTTACCAAGACAGAACCGAAGACTCCTTCCCACCAAATGAGTTGCGAGATTGTTGACTAGTAGAATGTCTTAGGAGTCCAAAGTGAAATATGGTGAGTAGATCTTGCCTACATCTGCTCACTGGAAGTGCACGACGGTGAATTACTACTTTCAAGATGTGACTTAACTGCCTGCTACAATGGCTAGACTGAGGCAACACAAATGAGAACATGGCGTAATTCGCTATTCTCAACAGAACTGCTGTAGTATTGCTTTAGTTAGGCAGAAAATTGAGCGTTTCGTAAATGTAGTAAACCGGCCTACAAATGGGTCTATCTACTGCCAGCGTCTTTTTAGAGGTCGGCACCAGTCACTTGCCAACACTTTACGTTGTCTCTCCCGCATACTGTTCTCTGATAATCTTATACAGGCAAGAGCGGGAAAGAGTCGAGAGTATCGTCTGTGTTCTTCCAAGTCTAAAGAGGACTGATTATTCCGCCAAACTGGATATGTTATTCCTATTCCCAAAACCTTCACATATTTCCTTATAGAAATTTACACATGATTGTTTCGAACACTCGCATTATGCAACGGCTTACGTTTTCGCTTCGCACCTTGACCCTACAAGGTCAAATGTTTCACCCTTGACAGACTACCGAATAGCAAACTGCTACGCTGTGTCGTTTCCGCACGTCTTCCAGTTTTCGTCCTCATTACGATTGTTAACCTGTTCGTAAATTGATTACTGTTTTCAATTTGTATTATGAAACCACGGTAAAGGGAATTTACGTTTTAATTTTGACCAGACCGTGCGTATAGTATAGATTCACTAGCCTACAATTTTCCTATCCATTCTCGTGCGATTACTTACCCTAGGCCTCATATAGCCGCTGCATAGTTGTATGTTACTGGTTTTGATGCTTTCGACTACTGTGCTGCGGTTGATGTTACCGAATCTGAGAAACTTCAGCATGCTGAGACCCGGATCAGAATGCTGGAGTCTGCTCTGATTAATATGCGTCTAAAGGCTAAACGGTATAAATATGATGATTGTTTTGAACACGTTACGTCTGATCACCTGATTGTCAGACATACGGGTTCTTTGCCCTACGACGTATGTAGTCTTCCTTCTGATGTTCCTCTTCGACCATCTTACCTAAAAGCGATATCCTACACCCGTTGCATGTCGTCGGTGGTGCATTTGAATGTTCCGTTGGCAGTCATAGGTTTGGAGGTTCGAGACCGTGCCAAAGACCTCATTTTAGATTCACAAACTGCCAGCAACTGCTTCGGTCTGAGCAGGGCGTCCTGTTTTCCCAGATGGGAGCTGATCGCATTTGATGGTGACCCAGCTCGCTATTGGATATTTATGCGATGCTTTGAAGTCAGCGTGACCCGAACAACTTCCGATCGGACGATCCGACTTTCATATCTGATACAGCGCTGCTGTGGTGAAGCCAAAGAAACCATCGAAAGGTGTTTGTTCCTCGTACCTGGTAAAGATTCCCAAGAGGCGATGAGTATTTTGGACATGGTAGCGAGGACCATTATCATTGCTCTAACTGTTGGACCTAACATCAACCCAATAATTTTGCAGCCCTCTCTCGTTTCCCTGTGGAACTGCGGTCCTGATACTTTGAAACAGTTGAGATACGATGCTGGTCTGAACGCGTCCCGAACAATTAGGCGACTGCCCAACCATTTGCAATTAAGTGAGCGAAGAAGGCGGAAATCCCCGTGCAGTTCGTTGTTGCTTTAAGTAATGAATTCCGGCCAAGCCTATTCTTCCTTTGGACAGTTTGTCATATCTCGGAAAATAGCCATCCAGTAGTTGCGAAGTTTTCGTCCGACTTAAGTTCCCCTTATTCACGTAGTTCTTGTACGAACATTTATCGGATATGAAGCTGGCGTGCCATGTACAGTGTGACATCGGTGTTCCGTTGTAGTGATTCACCATAAGGTCGATGAGGCTCTTTCAGTCATAAACGTAACGAACATTTTTGATATTTTTCTATGCTTACGCGGCTTACCTGATACAATGCAATGTACTCCATTAAAATCGGTTATTAGTGTCACCTCACATGTGGGTCTCGAAGCTGATTTTCCACCCAGCTTGATTTATATACAGCGGTAATCTGTTTCAAGACCAGGATACAAGGTCCATTCACCGGTCATTTGCCGAAAGGTAGTTTTGCATTGTCAGCTGATCGATTTTCACCAACGTTTATCTCAGGTGGACAACTGTGTGCGAACGATATGTGATTTAACGGACTTGGAAGCACTGGGGTAGTTTACCATTCATTCACCACAAGCCCTCGAACCCCTTCTAATTATCCGAATGTCGTGTTTTGCAATTTCATAATCATACTTCAGGACCCTGAAAAGCTTATTTTAGCCGCATTTTTGGTCCTATTGACAGTTTATGGAGTTGAGGTCTGATAGTTTTTTAGACTGGCGATCACCTCTGCTAACTTAGAATGGGTGTCAACCGCAGTAACACATGACCTGCCGTCGACCGGACTGGCATGGCCAGCACGTAAGCGCGACCAGAATTTCATTCTTTCAGGCCATTGCAGTGAGCTACGCGGTTGGGTGCATGCTGCACCGCGGTTCACTATTCGTACTCTATACACACTTGCGCGATATTTTGGTCTATTCTGTGTCCGATAAATTTAACTCTTTCTAGTGCTTCTGAAAGTGGACAAGGATGATCGTTCCATCGAACCTAGGATGACTGTATAGTGCTATTCAGATGTCAGACGTGATCGATGACCCTTGAGATGTTTGCCAACTATAGGAATACCTTGAACAGTACGTCGCTGGACACATCGTGTTTGCACTGATCTTCAGTGAACCGAGAGCAGATGAACACATGCAGGAAACAGCATGGCGCACGAATCACAGACAACGCGCAACTCGTCGGAATTTACAATCAGTGAAACAAATGTAAAAGTATAAAAATACGAAAATCGCTGTTTCGAAAAATTGAAAAAGCAAATCCCATAGATTCGCTGCATCACCGTCAGTTCGGCGTCAAGTATCCACAATAGACTACTACCCTGGTTCCGATGATATGGTTTGAACTCCCATGTTTCATCACTGCGAAATATGACACAGAGTGTTGTACTGAGGTGAGCGGGGATCGAGAGCATCTTGCGGTATCGATCATCGAAAAATTGACTCTCATTCTTCGTTAATTGGGTTAATCGCTGTCTCGTTATTGTTAGGCGAATATTTCGCAATTAATTTTGACAAAGCATCCGCTTACCCAAGTTCGGGCTTGTACTTAATGCTTAGGTTTCAGGTGAGTAGATATGTTTCGCCTTTGTAGCCAGCTGTCAGTAGTGCTCGTGAGAACTTGATGAAATCAAGGGATGACTATTAATGGATTGTGGTCTTTTAGTAACTTGAAATGTCGACCATAAACAGCTTCGTTTCATTTTTTGAACCCCAAATACGATAGTCAATGCTTTAATTTTTTCTTGTTGGCACTATC